AATTTAGTGTTACTGTTCCGGAGCACAACGAAATTCGTAGCGTACCGCAGTCGGAGCACTAAAAATCGTAGTGTACCGCGGTCGGAACCCTAAAAAATCGTAGCGTACCGCGGTCGGAACACTAAAAATCGTAGTGTTCCACTGACCGGAACACTAAAAATCGTAGTGTTCCATTTGTCGGAAAACAAAAAGATGTATTTATCTTTTATATTTTATATGAAAAAAAATATATTTTTATTGTTTTTCAATAGATTTAATAAATATAGTACCTTTTTAAATTTGTTTATATTTTATTAAAAATTAGTAATATTATATTAGCATCAACTAGTGACTAGCCAACTCGTAACTGAAAATTTCATTGGATTGCATTTTGGCTGATAATCGATTGCGCTGATCGGAAAAATGTATTGCATAAGACTACCTGTACAAAAATCATAAAAAGAAGAATATTCCAATAATCTATATATATAAAAGAGTTGCGTTATAAGTGACTGATTGATCATCAACGCCCAGAAGAAACGGCTAAAGCTAGAAACTTGAAATTTGGCATGTAGGTGGGGTTTGGTGAGTAGGCGTGTGATAAGGCGGGGTTTTTAGAAATTCGTACTAAAAGGTACTAAAAACTGTATTACGGGGGAACGATTAGGTTTAGAACTTTGAAATTTAGTATGCAGCTTTGCTTACGATAAACGAAATGGTATGTGTGAAAAAAATTTTGGAATTTAGTACTAGAAGGTACTAAAAAGTACTAAATATTATATTTTAATAGAACCGGTGGAAATAGGTATCTGAAACATGGTATGTAGCTTAAGCTATTTCAAACAGAATGATGTGCAAAAATATTTTTTGTAAATTAGTACTAAATTTTTGAATTTAGTACTAGAAGTTACAAAAAAGTACAGTATTTTTCGGTTAATTGACTCTACGGTTAATTGGTTTCCACGCTTAATTGAACCACATGATGGGGCAAAAAATATTTCATAGGAAAATACATGTAAATTTTCTCGGACAATTAAACCCTGTTAATTGATTTCCCGTTTAATTGGTTCAAAATTCATGTCATGAAAAATAAATGTCCTTTTACTTTTCACCGGTTAATTGCATAATAATAATAATTGAAAAATAATCTGCCATTTTTTTACATAATTTGTGAAAAAGACTAGGTGGCATCTCTACTAATTCAAAACATATGTTTATTGCTAAAGAAAAACTTCGAGAAAGCGTAATTTGTATTTGACATTGGATTTTTTTTTTTAAATTAGTAGTTCCAATTATACGTGATTACTGTAATTGAACAAACTATTCAATTAAGCGGGTTCGGATAATTGGTTCCTCGGTTAATTGAACGAACGTTTGTGCAAATTTTGATGTGCAATTAACCGAAAAATACTGTACTAAATATTATATTTTAATGGAACCGGTGGAGACATATATCTCAAACATGGTATGTAGCTTAAGCTATTAGAAATAGAATGATGTGCTAAAATATTTTTCAGAAATTAGTACTAAAAGGCACTAAAAAGTACTAAAACTATATTACGCCGGAACGGTTGGAAGTAGATTTCTGAAATTTGGTATGCAGCTTTGCCTACGATTAGTCAAGTACTAAGTACTAAGAGGTACTAAAAAGTACTAAACATTACATTTGAATGGAATCGGTAAAAATGTATATCTGAAACTTCGTGTGGAGCTCAATCTATTACCAATAGAATGAGGTGAAAACATTTTGGAAATTAGTACTGAAGGTACTAAAATGTACTAAATATTATATAATAATGTAACAAATAGGATTATATATCTGAAATTTGACATGTAGCTTAAGCTGTTACAAACAGAATGTTGTAAACAAATATTTTTGGAAATTAGTACTAAAGTGGTACTAAAACCTGTATTACTCCGGAACGGTTGTAAGTACAACTATGACATTTTATTACAATGGAAGAAATAGGAATATGTATGTGGAAGTTGTACTTAAGCTGTTAGAAAGATGGGGAAACATTTTTTTTTTAAATTAGTTCTAACAAGTTATAAACATTGTATTACAAAGAACCGATAGAAATTGAAAACGTGAGAGATTTCACTATTACAAACACTATGCTATGTATTAATATATATATAAACATACTAAATATAAAAAATAGTGCATTGATAAAGTTTTATACTAAATAGAATTTAAAAGGCATGGAAACTACTAAATATTGTACATGGGTATTGAGCGATTAGAAGTGACAGAGTTTGGAATTCGTGTATGTGGCTTCTAAAATAAAAATATAATTTTCCCAGCGCCAATAACGAGTTAATAAGAGAGATATTGGCATTGCCTAATCTCAATGTAAAATAGTCTGTATAATTGCGATATAAGTTACTGACTAATCATCAACGCCCAGACGAATCTTGATATTTTGCATGTAGGTTAGTGTTGGAAATTCGTATTAAATAGTACTAAATTGTTCTTAAAGTTACTAATAAATACTAAATATTCTGTACGGTAGAACGGATAAGATTAGGAACCAGTTATTAAATACTTATTACAGTAAACATTTCTATATAAATATTTTCCACAAATATGTTCTAAACAGAAATATTCAGCTTTTTAGGGGAGGACCCAAAGGAAAAGGAAGACTTGGCAAAGATAATAATTTGAGCAAAGTTTTGATTCAAATCGGCCACTACATTCGCCTGATATTGGATTTATAAATATTGAACATTTGTGGGGGAGTTACCTGAAGCAGTGAACCAATGGGTTCCATCTTCGAACATGCTACAGGCTTTGTAAAGATAATAGGTTGCACAACGTTTTATTAAAATTGGATAGTCACTCGCATGATATTATAAAATTAATTTTAGCACAAGTTTCTGTGGGAGGTAAAATCTTAAATATAAAGGCAGAACTCTGTTAAAACCAATTACCAATGTAATTAAAAATGTCGTATTGTGCAAAACATTATTTTATAAATTCATACTATAAGTACTAAAACGTACTACATATTTGGCATTCGTTTTAAATTAACGAAAGGATAAAAATTAAAAAAAACCTATTATGGTCCTATTTGAAAGCATCCATCGGGAGGATCGAGAAAATAGTACACTTTCAAAAAATATAAAAATTTGTACGTTTTACTAGTAGGATTCGTGCATCAACGCTTCAAAAACCTATGTTCGAATGAAATGCTGACTAAGCTGACTAATTGAATATGTAGGACCAATTATTATTCGTTTATAGTAGAAACTTAGAAATTCATAAATCCATATTAAGTTATATTGTGTAGCTAAATTAAATTATATTTATTTTAACTATAAAAATATCCGCTAACGACGTAGCGAGCCTATGCTAGTGGATATATAAAATTCGTTTTTTATATTGTATCTGTATGTGGTTTTGTAATATTTATCCCAAAATCATAAAACTCTTTTTACATATCCGCGTAATTTCATGAATAAGCAAATCATCAAATATTGAATACTAACATTTTACAAGGAGATCTCTAAATATTATGGGAAAAATCATGGTCGTTGTGATCAAAATTCATCATTTTATCTCAAAAAACAAAACTGACGTGTATGGTACACTACCAGTACAGTTCAAGTAAGTGGAACGCTACGATTTGTATTGTTCCGACCAGTGGAACACTACGATTTTTAGTGTTCCGAACAGTGGAACATACCTATCCACCTTGGTACGGAACAGAACACTATGGAACGGTGCCATAATGTTTATTTTCGAACGCTGCTCTTAAGTGGGTGCAGCTCTGAGTTTTTTTGCGGAGGGAAGTTTTCAAAAGTCCCATGGCAATGCCTTCAATCCACAATGTTGGTGGTTTTGACCGAAGTTGTCCGGCTAATAGAGGAAAAACTGTGTAAAATTTGGATTGTTTAAAATTAAAATTAACAGCGGAGGAAAAAGGGAAGAATATTTTTTTTATTCGAAATCATCTATACATCCGGTGGTCGTCGGATGTATAGATGGCACATATGTACATATCATGGGCCCAAAAGATGTTCGCCACTTTGTAGTAATTTTAACCATTATGGGACAAATTTCAGTTCTTATTGCTAAACAACTATTAAACAGCAACCAGAAATAAATGGTTGGCGAAAAATTCTATTTGAAGCAACTGAAGTTGACAACAGTTGCCATTCATAATTCAAATTTGGCAACTGGCAACGCCACTAAACTATCGACCCATAAGTTCCTAATCATGTAGTGACTGGATGCTGTTCGGACATATAAATGACGACGATAATTTCGTTGAGTTGTAATAATTGACCAGAAGAATAAAAAAAATTCAATGATTTTGACGCGTTTCTGCACATTTCAAAAAACCAGTGAATAACCTGCAAAAGACAAAAATAAAAAATTATTAAAAACAAAAAAGATATAACCATCTTAAGTCCTTCAGTCTTTTTTGGGCCACCCTGTAGCTGACTATATAATAAATATGCCAACATTTTTACTAGCGAACGCAGGCAGGGTACAGTTTAAAACATGATTTGGTAACTAGTAGAAGTTAAAGATAATTAGCAAAATTTCTGCTTCATCACCAGTTACGAAAATTACTAAAACGTCTAAACATAATGAGAAAACAACTGTTCTGAATTGTTTTGCCGTAGAAAATTTTATATCGAAGAGAGCGGAATTTATTATTAATATTTCCATCAGAAATCTATAAAATAGAGAATTAACGAATTCATTACCCTTTTATTCGAATACATTTTCGTTTAGAAAGGGTTTAGGGAACCCTAAATTGATTTTTTGGCGGCAAAAATACCTTTCGATTGTCATACGTAAAAGCTGAAGTCTCCACCTTCCTTCATTTTTGTTATAACAACATAGTTGCATTTGGTTGTATGTTTTAGGCCATAAATATACAACCATTCATGGAATTGTGTATAAAATTACCGTCATACATTTCCGCTCCCATATTTTCGTATTTTGGCTACATTAAAAGGTGCATGAATCTATTAAATAGCAAATATCTGTAACTGAAAGTGTTACTGCGAAAACACATTAGAAAATTCGAATACCAAAACGTCTGAATACAATTGATGCATTAAATCGAAAAAATATGTGGATGATTCTGAAGCAACGCAACATATTTGTTAATCTCATAGTGAGTAGAAAGAAAATATATGTATATTAATACTATTGATTTTTCCACCTTCACAATTGTATACACACTTGCCGATTATGAATCTTCTAATTTCCAATTTTTTTATTTTTAGTTAAAATGTTGTCAATGGAAACGCCACAACATCAGGGCATCTATGCTCCATTGAACCAGGCAATGTCCGATTCAGAATCTGAGGAAGAGATACATAATTCCACAAAACATCACCAGATCCGCAGGCAACAAGAATTGTTCTTACAACAACAACAGCAACAACCACAACAATTAAATTTAAAGGCGAAGGGCAGAGTTCCGCCCAACACTTTAAATTTGCAGCCAAAATCATACCAACAAAATCGTCGTAAGTTGCTAATTGAACGTCAACGTCAGTTGGAAAGGAATTTATATCAAAATTCTCAATTACAGAATACAGATTCCAAAATTATAGGTATGTTTTTTAATGTTTTGAATGTTGTTTTTGTCTTTATTACACAGTATGCGGTGTTATTGGTTGTTTAAAGATGTAAACACATATGTGTGCATGTATGTATGCATTTATTTTTTAGGGGATGTTGTTGGGGAATTTATATTTAGAACATAGTCTATGTATAATGAATAGCTTTCAATAATTTTTTTTCGACCTTATGTGTTTTTAGTTATCAGCCCAGAACTATGGACAACTTTGTCACTGTATATTGTATTTTTAATATACTTGTATAATGTTGCATATCTTACGGCAGCGACACAGGCGGCGAATTGAGATTCTGGAACAGAACGCAAAATATCACAAATTTCTTTATTAACATACCCACCGAGTGGGAAATGTGTTTCATCGCTGAAGAAAATTTTGCACGATACGTGTCTGTGGCAGAATCACTTTTTTTTTCAGTTAGTTCTGATACTATTTCTGTGGTGGAAATAGTTAAGCGATCCATTTTTTCAATGTAAGAATTTCAACTGAACTTAACTTTTGAAACTACGAAATGGATACCGCTCTACTTTAAGTGCGACTTTACTGCGGTTGTCGTTTTCTTCTTTTCAGGCGAACTAACAAATCCAAATCTAGAAAATATCAAAAAAAGTTTTTTTTTTGATATTATGAATTGGTCTCTTCAATATTTCTCGTAAAATATTAATATTTTCTGTAGTGCAATTCTCTAACAACTTTTTTGTGTTACCGACAAATATCGTTAAAATTAAACACATGCATTATTTACATACGTACATATTTATATAATTTCTTAACTAATTTTTATATGAATTTGTATTTTGTAGTCAACGGTCATAAAATGGACAACTTACACAATAGCAGCATGCAGAACACCTATTTACGATCAGTTATGATGTCGGACGTAGGCATGCCATCCGACAGTGGCGGTCCTTGCGATTCGGGTAATAACTTTTCCAGTTTTAGCAACGAATACGACGAGCGCAATCAAACCGATGCAGATAATGTGGCTATACTCGGCGGAAATGGTTGTTCAAAGGAAATCCAGCTGGAACCGATGTCGCCGGCAAGACGATGCTGTTTCATTGCCTCGCTATTGTTATGTGTACTGACCGTAATTGTCTTTGTATGGGTAATACCGTGCAGCGAAGATGGCGCTTGTCCGGCACCCATCGATCGCGTCAAAACACACAACTGGCTAAATAATTATACGAAAATTGAGCTGAAGGCAGGTGTGAACATTGTCAAAGGAGTTCGCAGCTGGGAAAACAATTTAATATTTTTGTATCGTGGTGATGCCTTCTTCCCGGAATTCCGGCCGGATAACTCAAAACGTAACGGTATTATTTCGTTAATTGGAAGTTCGGGAGCCGTAGCATGGTATGATGAAATGGAAGACGAACCGTTGGCCATAGATTGCACGCTACTCGATGTGGACAAGAACGGCCGGACTGACTGCCTTATAATCGATGAGTATGGTGAACTGGGGGCAATAAATCCTGTGTCTGGACAGTGGCATTGGCGCTGCAAAGAGCGCTCGCCACACAAAGTTGATGCCCTGGATTTCCCCATAATATTGCCTGACTTGGATCGGGATGGAGTTTTCGATATTTTATTGGTAACTAGCGTAGCCTCAGATCGCCATTCGACGAGAAAAGGTGATGCCGGAAATAAAAGTGAGCTGGTTCAACGGAATTTCCTTAGAATTCTTTCTGGACGCAGCGGTCAGCCGATAGGAGAAGGCTTTAAAGTTATTGAATGCGATATTGTGCGTAAGCTACAATTAGAAAATGGCCAAACAGTTTCTTTCAATTGCATTCACAACAAGACCGAGGCCCAGCGGTCTAAAACGCTGGCCGAATTGTTCTCTCTCATAACAAATAAATCGCTTATGGGACATAAGCTGGTGCCTGCCTCAAAAATATCCCAACACCGCCACTACGGCCAACGAAAAGACATAGACTCCCAACGCAATATTTATTCACTAAACGGGCGTGAACTTATCGTGGAAAATAGGGGCAAATGTCCCGAAGACTGCAATGTCACGTTCATTCTAAGTGAGAATCGCAATGGAAAGGCATACACGGTGCGAAATTTTACCAGCAGTGGAATGTACGGCATGGTTCCCGCTCAGTGGCATTTTAAGAACACAAAGCCCAACATGTCGGGATTTGTAATGAAGTTTTGGAAATGGAAAAGTGAATCATCATCATCATCAAGTGGTCACACCTCAGCCAACCCACGAGGCAATGAGACAGCTCAGAAGACTCAAACGGCCAAAATGAAATCAAAGTCAACGAAGAGTCCGACCAAAGACAATACCTCCAAGACTTACAAACAAAATCATGTGCAGAGCGAAGAAGACAATCAACGTCATAGTGGCCATCAACGTGAACTGAAGCATGATGAGGAGGAGTACGATGCATTCGAACACGTTATACATAAACGTAGCTCATTTGATTTCGATGTCATAGCTCCCCGTTCCAAACGCAGTACTTCCACCTCGAATGCGACGAATAAAAAATCATCGGGTCCAAGTCTGTTAATGAATGACTACAAAATGCAACTGATTACAGAATCTGTAATACTGGTATTATTTATTGGAACAGAAACGCGCATCGAGAATACCTCACAAAGTAATATAGTTCAGTTCTGTCGCAATGATCGAAAAACCGTTGTCTGCCAACCGGATCTAAATAATCAAGAGAACTCAATGCTTATTGAAGATTTGGATCAGGATGGTTCTCAGGAGTTGGTGTCGTATATGTCAACATTTGTTCAGGGCAGTGAGGCCTCTCAAGACTGGCGTTTGGTTACATATGTACGCCTATTGAGGCTGCAATCAGAATTGCCTGCCTTTTATGGTGATGTAAAGAGTAATTAGAGCTGAAATAAAATTATATACTCATACATAAATATGTTCTTTTGATCTGATTAAATAAAATACAACATCATTTGTACAAACACAAACACTTGTATAGAAATAAAGAAAGTTCATATTCAATATTAATAAGAAAAAAATTGTAGAAATTAGTAGATTCTTGCAGTACGGGAACATACCATAAGATTAGATAAAATCTTAATGATCACTTGATTCTATAAAAATCCACAAGACATCATTTGAAATGTTTTTATTTCTGAGAATTTTCATAAATTTTTGAAAAAAAAAATGGGTCATTGAAAGCAAATATATAATTATCCACACAAAATACCATAACCCTTTGTATCTTACAAAATGTATTTAAATGTGGCAATAATAAAAGATGTCAGCGTCCCACACAAAGAAATGCAATCAAGATGTCTACACTAAATTGTAAATAATTTCTTTTTTTTCATTAGTTAGTTGTGCTTTTCGGGGACAGCATGAATCTACTAATTTTTACTACGAAAAGAAATTTTCTTTTGTGATATCGAAACAATGGCAAAAACTAGTAGATTCTTGCAGTAAGGGAACAGACTATATGTGTCTTAACTCGGATTTGTATAAAATATTAAATTTTCATGCATTAGAAAAATAGATAGCTCTTAAAAAACTCTTAAAAGTATTTCAATCCGTGCATTAAATCCTAATGCACTAACTGAACGAACAGCAATTTGTGGTATCCAACAATCGACATAATCGAATTGGCAATTTAATCCCACTGTATTAACGAAATCCAATACAATGTAAATGTATCGCAATTCGTTTGGATTCGAGATATGTACTTACGGAACATCAAAGACCTTCATACTATGTCAGAGATTATAAAAATTGCAATATTTGTAATTTTTTAGTTTTGTTTTAATGGATATAAATAATATATATGTGTATAAAAATATATGAGTAAATAGATAACAATCATATATGTATGTATTTTAAATTTAACCAAATACTATGTAATATGGTTTTTGGTAATGATTTTTCTTTTAAAAATTTAAATATTTGCAAACTAGAAAACTTTCGGTCGAAAGTAAACAAAATATTACGGCAACACCTTTTAGGATTAACACGTAAATAATATTTTTTATAGAACGCATAGGCCACTTTTGATTTTCACTTGGCAATCTCTTGCGATATTCCACTTTTGGGTGATATTTTACTTCATGAAGTTTTACAAATATCAACATTACATGTATTCGATCAAGTATTGCGGTGTTCCTCTCGACGACCAAATTTCATGTCCCTTAAAAAGTGTATACTCTCACTATTTATTAAGGATAGTATGGTGGATTTAAGGGTGAGCAACGATGCCAATTTATATTTAATTGTAATTGATGAAGCCATCTCAATCAATTGCGCTATATTCTCATCCATTTGCTTAGTTATTCGATTCTGTTTGCCGTAAACTTGGAATCTGCAATTAAACAATAATAATTGAATTATAAAGAAAAAAATTGTAAAAAATAATTGAACACTTGCCCCTTAATGACATTCTCTATAATATCGTCCGTGATATCAATTTGTTGTAGAAAATCACTAAAATACGATTTATTTGCTTGTATTATGTATTGCGATAGAAGTGCCTCCGACCAGTTGATATCGTAACCATAGGCACGGCTAAGTATTAAGGATTGTGAAACACTAAAATGAAACAGAGTTGAGAACGTGATAAATATCGAAAATAAAATTCACAGTAGTTTTTATTTTACGCAGCAAAAAATCTCTTTTTTTACTTCTAAATTAATTTATATTTTACGAAGTAATTTTAACGATTTCCTTACCTTAATGTGTCGTTGACTAAATTTTTAAATTCTTGTCGAGACTTCAGCTGAATAACACATGGGCACAAATAATTTCCCGAAGATGTTGCCGGTTTTTCCATACCCTTATTGACCAAATCGATTTGCATCGCAGTCAATTCAGCTTTGGCAGCACTCTTTTGGGCCAACAATAATTTATTATCCTGCAGATAGTTTTCAGCTGCATGCACATAATATTCGAGCGACTTATTGAGTTGAGCGATCAGTTCAGGCGAACAACGCAGTTTCTTTATATCGCCATCATCCGATAAGCTTGCTGTATTATCGACATTCATTTGAATTTCTTCAGCGTCTTGATCCCACAATTCAGCCAGATCCTTGTACATCAGAAAGTGCAAAGCAGCTAACTTGAACAGTTCCTTCCCCTGCTGTGGGGAACAATATTCCCGTAGATATGATAAAATGGCTTGCCGTAAACCAATTGTCTTTTCTTCGTCAAATTGGCCGAGCAACGATTCAAACTGCTCGTTTTCGATCAGTGTATCGAAACAGAAATACATTTCCCGATAACGACCGATGCCGGTCAACATACGCACTATCAGCGACCAGGATTTCGCTTGGGCCAGAATGTTATTTAAGGCTTTGGCACGATTCAGCACATTTGCGATTCCCTCCATGGAGCATTCGTGTACGAAGGCTTGATGAGCTTTGATCAGGAGTTCCACGTAAATAATATTTTGTTTTTTATGCGAAAGGACTTGAGGCGGATGGGGTTGATTCGAGATAGTCGATGTAATCTCCGATGCATTGATGCTATTGGCATTACCGCAGTTGTTTGGCAGCCCGTAGCGAGCAATAATTTCCGCCAGACGATCAAAATAGATATTGGAATTGTAGGGTTTGTTGTCCTGATATTTACGATAGGCTTTTAAGGCATCACAGTATTCCAATAGACAAGCACCAAGTTGTGTACGGTCTGGGGTTAGTTCCAAAAACAAATGTAGATCACGATCGATATTGTAACCCCAGAGATCGGCATTGCGAAATGAAGTCTTACCTTGTTGATCTGGACTAAATATATAGAATCGTGGCCTTACAATGGCAGTGGTTATTTCAAATGCCAAGAGTTCTGCTATTTCCTTCGGTTCCATATGTGTCGATGTTAGGATGTCGCTGACCACTAAGAGACGATGCAAGCATCCCTCCTCGGCTATACTCTGCAGCAGAATGTGCACATCTTTGGTGCGTAAAACATCGACATATTCCTTGTCCAGATACATGGCGGCTCGGTAACAGCTGATGATGCGCCTTGCCAGATTCACTCCATACTTTAACTTGGATGCAATGCCCTGCAGTATTGTCAGTGTTTCTTGTTTCTCCTTCGATGGAATTTCTTCGAACTCCAGCGTCGAACAACTATCGGAAAGATAGGCACCAGCACTGCCGCCAGTTCCTCCTAATCCTGGTGCAGAGCACAACGTTCTCTTGGTGAATTTGGAAAAGGACGACCGCTCAACAACACTCAGCAACTGGCGCTCATCGGCCGACATACAATAAACCGTCGACATGGATTCAGCCAATGCCATGCAGAACACTATAAAGCGCAAATCCAACGGCCTTATATCGAACAATTCCTGCAGGCGTAAGGCCTCCACAATATCACCCTCATCCAGTAAGCGGTGCAACAATGATTCCAACCGTTTGGTCTGCAAATCGTTCAATTCGATCTTATTACTTATATTTAAATCCTCGATTCCGGCTAATTCTTTCAGTTCCAAAAACGTTTTGTAGAGAACCCTTCTTTCGGAAAGCATGATCTCTTCGTAATACTCAGAGTGATATAATCTCAATTCAGCGATTTCCACCTCGTCCAGCAACAGATAGTTCACAATCATATCGTATTCTATTTGATCGCGGTCGAATGACTCGTTCGGAAATAGATGGTGATGTTTAATGACGTTTAAGGCCTTTTGCAAAACCGTGTAGCGCGATTTGTAAGCGTGATCTGGCAAATGGGCTGAGGCATAAAGCAAGAAGTTCACTAACGTTTCTGGTGGTAGAGAATGGGCCGCTACTTCGTTTTCGTATTGCTCAAATGGAAATATATAATTATCGAATTTACCCGATGGCGGGACTTCCAACTGGGACTCCAAGGAAGACACCCATTTACTATAGATTATGTCACTGATGGGCTTGTGCAGTAACGAAGCTAGACGTACGGCAATATCATACTCTCTCGCCGCTAATACACAGTTCAAAATTCGCTCATATTCCTTGGCATCAGCTTGTTCGCCGTGTAGCAACTGGATGAAATTCAAAGGAAAACGTTGAGTCATCGAACCATTGGCAGTCATTAGAATATCACAGAATTGTTTTAACAGACAAAAGTCCAGTTGTCCGGTAATATCACTCAGACCCGACTTGCATACACAGCTGAGAAATTTAAGCTGATCGACAGCGGATTCAAAGTTACTCTGGGTGTGCAACAATAGCAGACGTATTGTGCGTTTCATCAGCTTTTCACGTTGAGGTCGGAAATTTAGTGGCAAACGAATTTCTTCATTACTCCATGCCAAACAATACAAACGCAGCTCATGGACGTTTACTTCACCGAATTCATTTTGGGTCGATAGTTGCAGGAATCGAAATAGATGAATCAGTCCATTATCCGGAAGAAAAATTTCAAAGCTTCGGACAATTGCCGTAATCTGATTTTGAGAAACCAAATGGTCCATGAGATTCCAGGGAAATTCCTGTACGCTATTGGCCAACCGTTGGAGATGGCTCCATTGATCTGTTGTGACTGCCAACCACACTAACCAACACCATTCCACGTGTGCCCCATTGGTGTCACCAGAAACTATAGAGGCGGCCAATACAGCCATTATAGGCAATCGTTGTTCTACTGCGGTTCTTAGAAAGTTGACAATAGCTGAGGCAGAGTCCTTGCCATCGGCGTTGCTACTTTGCAAGTGTTGTAGAAATGTAGACACATCCAGGACCGGTTCTGTACAGGGATAGCAAGAGTTCAAATTCAACAAAATCAAAGCGAATATGTCGGGGCTACCATTGGTACAATCAGCAAATATATTTTTATTTTGGCACATCGAACCACTCCCAGCACCTGGAAGATCATTTCCGGATGCCATTGAAGATGTCATTGTCTCTACAGATGTGTTAATCGCCCGTCTATCTCCAGTAGACTTTTTTTGCCTGTTGGATTGCAGCTGACGTTTTGTTACACTCGAACGTCGCTTCATGGTGTGGCCCTCAGAACTGTTATTGGTAAATGAAGATAATGCCCTCAAAAAGTGGTCTCCCATTGAGGGAATCTTGAAATATTTCACAAGCGATTTGATCTGCTCCAAAGGTATTTCAAAATAGTGTAATAAAACCAACAAGTGCCAATAGTCGTTGCGAGTTGCATAACCTTGCATTATCAAAGATCCATTTTCTTTGGGTGTACTATTCGGACAGATGGCTTTGCATGCCATGATTGTGTTGTATTCTATAAGGGGAAATATGTTTGTATCATCTTCAATGGACATTTTATCCAACAGCAACCGTTCAGCCTCAAAAATTACTGAATCAAGGCCTTTCTTGTCGGGACATACGTTCGGATAGTGTGCATGCTGCAAACACCGACGAAGTCTCAGAACACATCTCAGTTGCTGAGTGTCGAAGCCCAACATTTCACAAAACGCAATGCAATGGCTAATGACATCCGAATCGGCAATGGGTGTCTGTAACGCCAACTCGTAAACACTTTCGCACGTTGTGAGCAAATGGGTTTTAGTTATCTGTGCATAGTTTTGAAGTTGCTCTACAAACATGAGGTAGAGGGCATAGGCGCTCCTCGATTGTTTAATATAGTGAACAAAATTCAAACGATGGTTGTTTCTATTCGCTGGCCCAACATCGCTATTGCGACTTTTGCTAAACGTATTAGCATCTTTGCACAAACGATGCACATCGATACCTTTGAATGTTTTTATTAGGTCATAGATCGTGGGTATACTCTGCGGATTTACGGCCGTATTGTTATTTTCATGATGCAAAACCACTTTGAGATAGGACAACGATTTCAAAATACCCGACGATATTGAACAGTGTAAATTTGCCAAAGACGGTTGATTGGTAAGAAAATCAAAAAGTGTCGCCAATGTCCATTTATTGCATTCGTTTGAATCAATATGTTCCAGATATTTTGTGGTACTGGAAACAATCTAAGAAGAAAGAAAGAAAATTCATTAAAAACAATATCCCTTGTTACAGGCAAATTCATTCCAAATTTCTAACGACCTATCGATAATTGCTACCTGTACTTTGAGTATAAATTATTATAAATAGAAAAGGAACGGGGTGTATTGTATAGTTGTGTAGGGTACACACAATATATGTATACCAATATATAATTTCATATTTTTATTTTTGATGTAGTAAAACACAGTTTACAGGATAAAATGTAGACATCAATTTGGAATTTTTATGTAGATTTCAGTGGAAGTTCCAATAATTTGGTTTTTTAAAAAATGATTTTACATTAAAGTCATAAAGTTTATAATTAAAGTCATACTAACCTTTTTAAATCCCTCGAGATTTTCGAGCTTATTTGTTTTTAATGTAATTATAAGACTAAGGATATCCCTATTATCGCTTATACTTTCAAACATTTCTTCAAGTTGTCGCACTGTAACAAATTCATTCAATAGAAGGTGGTAGAACCCGCGCTCGTAGATATATTGACCAATTGGCAATGATCTGATGCAATCACGATTTTTGTGAATGCTGTGGCTGATACATATACGTTGCAATACAGTTTCCACATGGCTTCTCTCATCAGGAAAAAAATATCCCGCCGATGCAAATAAGTTACGAAGAACTTCATCCTTTTTATTGGCAAGGGATCGAACTGCATATTCGTACATTTCTGCCTCAATGGACCATTGTGTATATTTCTCTTCCAAGACGGAAAGATTTGAGTTTAACGAAATCGTTTCTTGTGGCTGTATCTGCAACTTGCACCATGATATTATCTCCTCTGTTTGACCTGTTTCTATCAAGAAATTCCAGAGGACAAACTTGTTGATGTACTGCAACAAATTTTCGTTGCGTGTTTCAAAGTACAGCGATATCATAATATGTTGCTTTGTCGCACTGTCTAATGCCATTAGGGATTCCAAATTTATACGCTTCATGTGTTTCTTTACATCGGCCATAATTACATCGGACTTCTTAAGTTTTTCCAGTAGGCTCCAATGAAATTGCAAGTCCTGCATATCGCTCTCAAATTTGTCGGGGTTCTTTTTTCGCAAATGGTCCAAAAGCATTTCTCGCAATTCCGAATCATTGCATTCACATGCAAATTGGTAATAGAAACACTTCACGTCCCGATGCACGTTTCGAAGGACTATTTCTGCTTTGCACACCAGTCGTTCATTTAGAAGGCGTGCCACATAAGTCTGAACGATGTCATGGAAAAACAACTCGTAATCGTTGATGGGCATTTTTCTTTTCCTGGCCCAATATGAAATGCACAAGTCTATATGTTCACCTTTTGTGGCTACCTCCTTAATGAGAGCCAGCTCACTAATTCCGGACCATGACTTGAAAATCTTATCTCGTTCGTAGTTGCTGTTGCTAGACATTCTGGATTATGGGTGGGTTTCAGTGTATTCCGACGACAACGACAATGAGTGACTCGATTACATTTCATGTAACGAAATGCAAGTGCAGCTAAAAAAAAGAACAGATAAGAATATGTTACTGTGTTTGAGTAGATAAATAGAATTTGAAATCTTCGTCGTTCTTTTGTGAATCAATATTTTCAAAATCGCAATGAACCTGATTCAGATCCATAAATTTTATATATTGTATTTTATTAATAACTCACAACAATTTTATTTTACAAACAAAACAATAACTGTTAACGTTGCACATCGAGTCATTGAGAGTCACTCTGGTGGAAAACTGCGTCCTTTGTGTTCAGTCCAAAAAGTCTCTGCAGAAAAGAAAGAAATATTGAAAAACGTTCCACCTTTACGAATGGGATGGGATAAGACAAAATGCCCGATAAAGAAGAAGTCAAAAAAGAAGACGGAAAGTTACGAATGAGGTGGGATGGAGACTAAAAAGGAGTTGGATTGTTTACGAATGAGGTTTAAGGAAAGGATGAGAGTAGCAAGGGCAGCTCACATTCAGAGTTTGCTAATTACAACCCTGTAAACCTGAGGTAAAAGCAAACGAGCCGAGGTCCAACCTGGCGAATGAAGTTGAAAGCAAACGAGACGAGGAGAAAGCAAACGAGAAATCAAAGCAAACGAAACGAGGACAAACCTCGTATTTACGAATGAGGTCAAAGCAAACGAGAAATCAAAACAAACGAGAGGAGGACCAACCAACAGCTGATGAGTGAGGAAGGAAGAAGAAGAGCAACTAAGCGATTAAAAGCAAAAAATTTTGCCGCAATATTTTTTATAAAAATTTATAATTTTTCTACATTTTCGGGTAGTGTATCCACAATTAGGTGGACTGGGATACCCATTAAATACATCTGGCAATGGAAGATGACGCTGTGGAAGATTTTCCTGTGTTACAAAGTGGTAATGAATATAAACGAAAACGTCTGGAAGGTATAACAAATACCACAAATATTGATTTAGCTGATCTAGCGTATGATCCCAATGATCAGACATAGACATACAAAATGTTCAACGTAAAGCCAGTCCCCGGCAAACGAAGAGCACTGCACCCAATTCGACTGCAACAACAGCAACGGCAAAGAACAAATGGTGCCCGCCAATAATATTGTATGACGTCAATATACAACATCTAATAGACCAACTTGAAGCTAAATCTCCAAAAATCAACTTCAAAATTAAAAACATCAACAGACGAAAAAGCAAATTATATTTTTCTGACGCCGTGGTTCATACGGAGATGATAAAAATTTTGCGAGATAAATCAGTTTCAGCACACACCTTCACACCAAAGGAATTAAAAAAAGTATCGTTGGTTCTGAGGGGTCTGTACCATATCACTGACACAAACCGGGTGAAAGTAGCTCTAGACAATGCTGCACCAGATGCAGTAGCGAAGGTGACAAAATATACTACTACATTTTCTATTAAAAACAATTACGAAACTGGCCTCTTCTTGGTCTCTTTGCTTCCGGGCAAAACACTAAAAGATGTGTCACACATTCATGAACTGCTGAATCAGACAGTGCAGTGGGAAAAACCACACAAAAAGGAAAGAGAGATCCAATGTCACCGATGCCAGCGTTGGGGCCATGTATCCAAAAACTGTGCGTCCGAATTAAAATGTGTGAAATGTGACAAGAAACATTCTCCTGGTGAATGCCTTCGCACTAAAACTGAATCTTCTCAGCCACACTGCGTTAACTGCAATGAAGCCGGACACCCAGCTAACTGGAAAGGCTGTCCAGCATTCAAAAAGTACTTGGCAAATAGAAGAGAACGCATCCAAAAAGCTCAGGAAAGCAAAGAAGCAGCATCGGCCAATGTAAAACGTGCCATAACATCCTCATTTAGATCCCCGAATAAAACATTTGCGAGCCTGTTTCAGCCGCAAATCTCTCAGCAGCAAAAGCCAGGTATTGTGAATGAATTCCTAAAACTTGCAAATTATTTCCTTGAGCCCGAGGAGATGACACTCGAGCAAGAAATAAATGTATTTCTTGCGGAATTTCAAAATATGCCAAAAAAGGACGCAAAGGTAGAGTTTTTGCGTTTGCTCAAAAAAGTAAGAGAAACTTATGGGTAATAGATTCATAAATATTCTTACCTTTAACGTTCAGTCCTTGAAAGACGTCAGTCGTCAAATTGACCTCCAAAACATCTTGATTCGCAACAATATTGATTTCGGATTGATTCAAGAGTGTCATCTTGGCAACCGAAAAGTCTATATAGATGGCTACAATTTTATATATGATCACTCCTCAGTCGGAGTAGCAATTATAATTAAAAAATCTCTTCTATACAAACGCATTTATATAGATGATATAAAATTTAACGCTATTTTTGTTCAAATTGAGACAAATTTTGACAACACAACAAAAAATTTAATTATCGGCTCAGTTTACACTCCCTCTAATATCTCTGCGCAATTTCTTACGTGAAGCTTAAATAAACTCCTACAAGAGGCACAAGATTGGGATGGATTTATCTTAGGCGGAGATCTTAACTCAAAAAATACTCAATGGGGAGATACTTTAGATAATAATAATGGAAAAATCCTGCATAATTGACTCCAAGATAATTCTATGGATGTAGTGGGAATATGTGACTCAAATCCGTCGTTTCCAAGATCATCGTCCTTTTTGGACCACTTCCTGTTGAGCGAAAATATTATAGATAAAGTATCACCTAATTTCACTTTATCCACCTTGCCAACTTTTTCGGACCACTTTCCATTGAAACTTGAACTTAAACTTAATAACTTTAATATGATACTGAGGACTCTATATATGTTTACTAAATACAAAAACACGAATTGGAATCTTTTTCGTCGCGACATGGAAGCAGCCACGCTTAATATCATGCCTCCTACAGACAGGAATCTTTCAAACAACGAGGTAGATGCTAGTATTGAAGAATTTAACGCAACTTTTATGACTGTTCATGAAGCCCATTCTGAAAGATCAGAGTTAAGAAACAAGAGGTTCCCATTATCAGATCACGCCAAAAAGCTATACAAATTGAAATCTCAATGGCAAAAGGAATTGAAAAAGATATATCATCGAGCAGGAAACCGCCTCAGTAGTGAGTACAATCTCCTTTCAAAACAAATACAACTTTTAAAAACAATAATTAAAGAAACAATAAATATTGAGCGAGCAAAGCACTTCCATAATAGACTCCAAAACATTAAGCCTGGTCCGTCCGCGTTTAAGCAAGTATTTCAAATGGTTGGAAAAAATAATTCTGCATTTTGCCAACAAGTCCGACATAATGACACAATTATAAGTGATAGGTCTGCAATTTCCGAAATCTTCCACAACTACTACTCTAATATTTTCCGTCATTCAATACCAGAACAACCAGTGTCTGATCTAGACTCCAAAGTCTCATCTTGCATTGATTCGCTGACACCACAAATATACACCTTTGACGAAAACTTCAATTCTTTAAATAATCCCGACACATATCATTTCATTGGAGCCGAGCAAATAAAAAACATAAACAACATTAATAACAAAAAATCAAGCGGTTTTGATAATCTCTCAAATTTTATTATAAGAAGACTACCAGAGATAACAGTTAAATATTTTACAATTATCTTCAATAATTGTCTTAACAACTGCTATTTTCCAAAACCGTGGAAGTCAGCGAAAATTATTCCTATTAAAAAAACCAAGCAGCATTGCGCCAGGGGACTTTCGGCCAATATCTCTACTTTCGAACATCGGAAAATTATTTGAACATGTACTTAAGGAGAAAATGGAGAAGGAATTTGTTATTGATCCCATTTCGCACTTTCAATTTGGTTTCAAAAAAGGGCACTCCACACAACACGCCTTACTAAAATTTCATAATGATGTCGTCAATAATCTAAGGAACAAAATGTGCACTGTTGCTATTTCTCTCGACATTGAAAAGGCCTTTGATTCCGCCAATCATAATGGAATATTATATAAGTTAATAGACCTTGGCGTAGATCCTTACCTAGTAAAGATGTTTTACAGCTACTTCTCAGAGAGGCATTTTAAAGTCCAAATAAGCGACTCAATTTCGACAACAGGTTCAGTAAAAAGTGGTGTTCCACAGGGAAGTGTTTTGACCCCTCTCCTATTCAACATTTTACTCTACGATTTTCCGCTCGTGTCCGAAAATTCAAAAGCAATATTATATGCAGACGATTGTATGATATATACACCTAACATATCTCCAGTACAAGCATTAAATCAGGCGGCATATCATCTTGGCCAAATAAGTGTATATTATAAAACATGGGACATCAGAATCATTGCTTCTAAATCACAAGCGATCTGCATCCGAAATGCTTCTGGAAAATGTGCCAGATTTGTTGTTCCTGAGAGTAAAACCTTGAAGTTGTCTTTAGATGACGAAAACATTCCATTTGTCTCCGACATAAAATATCTAGGTGTTAATTTCAATATGCTTTGGAAATTTAACAAACACGCTAGATCACTTCTACAAAAGGGGAAACGATTTTTGGGGATATTTTCGTATCTTTTGAATAACAAATACTTGCCGGAGAACACCAAACTCCTATTATACAAAGTGGCGGTTAGGCCTGTAATTGTATATGGATTCCCCATATGGTTCACCATCAGCCCGACAGCAGCCAATGAAATTGAAATCCTAGAGCGGAAGGTACTGCGGAAATGTATAAATAAAAATTTTAAATGTAGAACAAAGAGATTTTCAAACAATTATATATACGAAAACTCCAGAATCCAGCCATTTTGTAAATATGGGTTAAACCTACAAAGGAAATTTGTTGAAAAATTAGAACATCTTGAAAATAATCTTATGAATGAAATTTATCTTGCAGAAAAGAATGTATACTGGTCCGGATTAGATTATTTATCCCCTGTGGGAATTTTGAACGAGGCACCGGACGATGATCCGGTATATAACTTGCCAGTATTTTACGCGCAAAC